AAATTTCACTTGACCACATTCAGCAGCATATGTCCCTGCAGATAGGCTTCAAGCAGTCACTTTAGCCAAAACTCATCAGTCTTTGTATGTAAACCACAAATACAGAGATCAGCAGTTATTTGAGTCTTCTTGGAAGAACGTTCTTTAAGTAAGAGTTTTGTAAATTTATTTTGATGCGATAATTTTTCTTGTGCTACTTGGCATGGTTCCACTGGGCTTGAAATAATTACAAGGATTAATTATGCCTTTCTGTATGCTTTATATACACCCCTAAAAAAAAGCATTATTTTTTCTTGTTTGCACTTCTTTGGAATGTGTGAGGCTAACACTTTTTTATAGATAAACAGTGATTTAGAAGTTAGAGCTAAATCTAGTCAAAACTGTCAGTTCATAAGGCGTGAAGAGACTCCTTTCACCTCAAAGTTTTGTAACGCTTTGATGCTCATCCAACAGCTCTTAATCCACAAATCTTATATGAGAATCTTGGTTCTCATTTAATTTTAAACTCACACCATCGCAGACATTGCAGAGAGAAGGAAGGGGGGAAAGAGAGAGGTCCTACTTCTTCTCAATACAGAGAAATACTGAAAATGTTCCACTAAGAGCTCTACATCAATATCCAACAAGCCCCAGATGCACTCCACTTTATAATGGTCATGTTCAACAGAGACTTATATGAACACCTGTAACCTACAGGGTTGTCCACACTGAGAGCAGAACAAGGGTAAACCCACATTAGTTCCCAATTGTGAAAGGCTGCAATCCTGCTTACACCTTCCCATGATGGGAGCACAGGAACAGAATAACATCTTTGCCCAAGTTACCAGACTAAGCCAACTCACCAGCACTGATCTGGACTGACACACCAGTTACAGAAAATGAAAGAATTGAGAGGATCTCAGAGCAGAGACATCAGAGCCAGGAAGTCTAAGCATTGCCCTCAGCACAGACCATCATCCATCACAGCGCACATTCAGATACTTTTGATAACCACAATGCCAGGACAGCGAGCAGCACTCTGACTATGAGAGGAGAGGTGCTTGTGGAGACTCTTTCCCTTCCAAATTCTGAAAATGCCTGTACACATAAAACAAGCAGTCAGGCGATTCAGTGATGGATGTACATGAAGGCATTGTGACGGTACACAGAGAATGTAATCTGCTACATCTCCGACAGAAGCAACAACCCCAGTGAATACATTTAGACAATTTTTTTTTTTTTTTTGCATCTCTGCTTACTACTCTGCATTCAGCACAGTTTTTCTGTAGGGGTTGGATATCTTTTTTTATCATGGGACTCTTTGTTCCTGTATTTACAGTGATGCACTAGTGTTGAATCAGAAATGTCATGCTGCACTGTATGTTAATACAAAACACATCTTCAGCCTCAGTCTTCAAGTGGAAATTCAGTATTCTTCACAAATTCTCCAGCAATTCTGTTTACAAAGTAAATCCTACATCTCTCAGAATCAAACTTGTGTTCATTCAAAATAAGCTCTTTCCTTCTCTGAGCCACAGTCTCCCTCCACAGCCTTCTGCAATAACACCGACTCATTTTTATTCCTCTTTTCAGACATCCAAATGTCACTAATTGCTCTAGGCTGCATGTACTACAACCTAAAGCATCATGTCTCTTACTCATCTTCCATCTCCACTGATGTGATCTACCTTGCCCTTGCTGGTTCTTGGACTTTAAAACCAGCCCAAGTATTAGGAAAAACATAAGACAGAAGAGGTGGTTTGAGAAGTAGCAATTGGAGAAATTCTCTGTTCACCACTACTGCAAAAATCCCTCTCCTAACACACACAGGTCCTCTCAGATTTTGCAGAATTAAAGAAAGGAATAAGTGATACCTACATGCATTCCTGAAGGCTTTGCTATTAGAAAGGTAAAATAAAATCTGAAAACTCCCAGATGAATGTCCACTTATTAGTGCTGAAATGTAACAAAAAACAATTCAGTATATTCCACAGTGCTTATATGGACACCTAAACACAAAAAACAGTGTCTAACCTAACTGAATCTTCATTGGGATGCCACTTGTCTTTTGAGACATGAAAATATCTTTGTAAGGTCCCTGCTTATACATTCAGTTGCCACAGCTTAATCAAAGAGAGTAAATAAGTTTAAAAAAAACCAAACACGTTTGCAAAAGAGACTAGTCCAAAAGCATAACGTGTCTTAAACTGGCCTAAGCTAACATACATCACCCAGATTTTTTATTTTTATGGATAATGTCACTCAGACTTTCATGATCTATGGGATTACTATCAGCTGTGTCTGGTATGAATTCAAGGATATGTCACTTCACCTAAAGCTCAAGTAGTGTTTCTTGCTGCTTGGATTGCAGCCTTTAATCATAACTTAAATAAGGCCTTAGTCCTGTAGACCTTACACCACCAGTTCTAATGGGACCAGGAGCAAGGCTTCAGATATTGGAGAGGACAAAGAGGACAAGGCAGAATTTAAATTCCCTGCTGTCTTTCAACTTTGTTTAGTCAAGCAGGCATTGAGTCTATAAACTATTAAAAGCTCTAGGCTTTTTTACGTAATTAGTTCCTGCCTTTTTTTTTTTTAACATCAGACTCCAAAAGACTCACATCTATCTGTTTAGGACAGAAAATTTTTACACAGGATAGATTAACATCCTCTTGTAATTCAATATTGCACAAATTTTATATATCATGCACCGCTTTCAGTACATCACTCTTTGTTAGGAGACAATCTAACAAAATCACTGTACATAAGCAACCACCCTAATCTAGTTTTTAATCAAACATCTACATTTTATTTGCAAGAATCTGCTGTGCATCTGTAATAAATTCAATTTCCAACATTGCCCACCTTTTTGCAACTTGAACATTTAATAATGCCAGCACTTCTTTCCCAAAGGAGAAGGCTCTAGGGAAACGTGAGATTTTACTCAAGTATCACATTTTAGTCATATGTCAATCACTTTATCTTCATTAAAATGCCACTACCTCTGAGTAAAATAACAGTAAAATAACTACCTCTGAGTAAAATAACAGACACAAACACTGTACCAGTCTGAGGAGAAGAATTGTGTATTGCTTTTTTGGAACAGCACAAGAAATTTCACCACTGAGAACACAACTGAATAAACTGGAATTTGGACAGTACTCTGAGAACCCATCACTGTCTATGCAAAAAGCAAAGCACTTGGAGGTCTTGAGGGTTGATTTAGGCAGTGGGTGTAATCCAGGTGCAATCCCACTTTGCCCTCAAAGTGAGACACTAGACATGGATCAATCCTGTTTTTGAAACTATATAAATGCAAGAACATTGTGATGCATCCATTCTTGTAAGGTTTAACCCTAAACAGTAACAATTGCTGACCTTCTTTGGCTTTTGAGGACCTGGCAAAAACAGTTGAAAGGAGCTTGGATTTTTTAATGGATATGTTGAAATATCTCTCCCAGATAACACCTAACATGGAAAAATTCTGCTTAAGTTTGTCTTCCATTGTCCCAAATTGCAAGTTTGAGACTGAGCAAGTTGCAGAGGCAGGCAGGTAGAAACCAGGTCTACATATAGCAGTGACAGGTTATAAACTGAGGAAGGCAGAACAAATACATTTAACACACAATTTGGGTTGAGTGGCATCAGGCATCCTGCCTTTTTCATATTTAGCAGTGCAGAGTTGGTTCTAAACCAGATGGAGTTTTGCAAAGGAATTTCCGTGAGGGATTTACATGACAGGACATTTGCATTCACATGACAGGACTACTGCAAAATAACATCTCAGAGATGTAGTCATGCAAGAAATGGGTCCCAAAGAAGAATTTGCTTTGCTCTAAGACAATTATCATAGTTCGAAATTTCTTATATTTAGTAGGGTTTTACTTAGTAAAAGTGTGTATTTAACTTTGTCTGTTGTTTTACCTGGCAAGAAGAACTGCAGGCTCTTGCTAGTTGATAGATTTACTAGTCTTCAATCAGATTTCAGGATGTTCGAGCTAAAGTCATGGGTTTTAGCTCTTGCAGTACCTGCCACAAGGACTGCATACAGGCAGTTTTTAGCCCTTTCACTGTTTGTCTGTACTGTATGACCAGGCAGTCCAAGGCTAAACCAACAAGGGAGCAGATGGAGAACTTGCTCTTGCCTCGTCTCCTCCTGGGATGGCACCACTAAAGAAGAAGCTAGAAGAGTGAGAACTGTCTGTGCTCAGGTCCAGAGGAAGGTAACAAGTCTGCTCAAGAAATAGATTTCCATCTCCTTCTGAAGACCTGTGGCTAACTGTTATTCTCCACATAGGATAATCACTCAGGAGAAGTCAGCTGTTTTAACATGCTCTTTGTCCAGTAATGCTGATCTGTTTGTGCCAGTTCTATGTGCTTTGGCAGGAGATGAGAAAAATTATGGACCCAGTGTATGAGAACTTTCACTGGGAAAATGGAAAAAAACCCATTTTATTATGGATTAAAGCTTTATCAGTTTCATGGTTAAGGTTGTGGTTAAGGTTAAGGATACTTCTTGTGTCCATACACTGGTCTGATTTAGAGGTAACAATTTATAGAAGCAAAAACCTCTTTCCTGGTACTCTCCCTTTGCCTTTCCAGGTCCAACAGTACTCATCTGACAAGATGAAGGAAACACCAAGCTCTCCAACTCTAGGCTGCACTGGCTGAGACCACTTATTTCTGGTTCATCAAGAGTGCATTGCCCAGTTCACTTCCTCCCTGACCCACACACACAGCAAGGTCACAGCATGCTCCCTTCCATGACACAACTGTACCCAAAATGGACCTTGAAAACCATTTTGCCTATGGCTGCAGTATACACTTTCTCACATGCTGGTGCTTAGTTGAGGTTTTCTGAATCCTCTCCCAGGTGTATGTGGCTTCCATACCTACTGACTTACATGCCAGCAGGACCCAATGCAACGCAGCACATACACCTGCGCTGTACCCTCACTAAACCAAGTCTGGGGACCACCCCCAAAATGCCACCACCCCTCTACTCCCACCCAGTGTCCTACCTGGCATCAGCTGTGCTGCTGCCTCAGGCATGATGGTGGGCGCTGCGTGGGGCTGCTGCTGGCTGGAGCTGACCTCAGGCTCGGTGCCCACTGAGGGCGAGCTGGCCACCTCACCACCCGTGGCCAGCTGTGGGATGGACGGAAGGGTTTCTTCAGCAGCCGCCGGTGGCTCCTCCTGACCAGGCAGCTGCAGAGCTGACAGGGGGATGCTGATGGGTTTCCCAGCGGTGGTGATGGCATTGGAGCTGGTGGCTGGCACCTGCAGGGCAGCCACAGGGCCACCGCCTGCTCCCCGTGCCGGGGAGGCGATGGGTCCCCGGGGAGGCCGCTGCGTGGCCACACGGGGTGGGCCAGGCGGGGAGGCGCAGGGGCGCTGCGGGTCGAGGTCAGGGCCTGCGGCCGGCTGGGGCACGGTTCTGGTGGGTCCCAGGCAGGAGGGCCCAGCCGGGGGCTGCAGCTTGGGCTTGGACATCTGTGTCAGAGCCAGGGCCGGCCCATCGGTGCCGGCCGTCAGCTCCGCATTGGCCACTATATAGTAGTCCTCAGGGAGCTCCTGCTTGATCTTCTTGAGGAGCACGTCACTGCCGCTCTCGTCTGCGGGCTGCGCCTGGGCCTGGGCCGTGGCAGCCGGCCGCTTGCGGGGGCCAGTGGGAGCACGGTGCGAGTGTGGCTCAAAGTCACTGTCCTCATCGGTGACAGATGACTCACAGACCATGTCGAAGAGGGTGGCCTCATCCTCATACTCCTCCACAGGCTCGCCCAGCTCTGATGGCTCACTGCAGTAGGAGAAGTCACAGGAGTCACGAGTGCGGGTGCAATCCAGCTTGGCCTTCCCTGGCCGGCCTGGGTAGCGCTCCAGAGGGCTGGCCTGAGCCTCTGATGGCACCCCCAGCATGCTGGGGCTGTCTGAGTTGAAGCTGCGGCTGTCCTGGAAGCAGACACGCTCCTGGGAGCCAGCCCGGCAAGTGGCGGCCAGGGGCCAATGGTAGGCATGGCCAGCACTACAGCCCCACATGGCTGTCAGGTTGCCGTGGGCCCCCTCGGAAAGCAGGTGCTTGAGGTTGGGGATGAGGCTGCAGATGGTCCCATGGCTGTGGGCCCAGCTCACCAGCTTGGAGAGATTTTCGGAGGAGGTGTGAAGGCAGTCCTCCATGGTACAGGATCAACAGCGCCTGGCTGTTGGGAAGTCAGCTGAAGACACAGTTCAGATTACAGGGTCCTGGCACTGATGGTCATGTGTTTCCAAGCTCATATTTACTTCTCACCTGCAGAGAGACAGAGCAAAACCCCACTCTTCAGCACTCCCAAAGCACGACCACTTTTTTGCATGGGAAAATGAAATATTTGTACGCTCAGCTAAACCCACCCATTTCACTTTTATTTCATGTCCTTCAAAACATGCCTTAATACTATGCCTAGTTTTAAGCAGCCTCATTCCTCATTCTCAGAACATCCCTGCAATACATAAATGAAAAGAAAACTGTTTTTCAAACAAGCCAATTCAGTATCAGTGGCAAAATTATTAGAGACTTAAATCACTGACAAAATATAAAAGCAGCCCAAAAGATGGTGATTGTGTGTTCATACCTAGGAAATTAAAATTAAACAAAATCTTAACACCTACAATTAATCTTGAACACCAGGGTGGCAATCAAGCACCAACTGGATCTGAAGAAACAATGAAGTTTTACATAATTTATGCAGATTTCTCAACTGAATCAGCTATCTCCTTTTCAAGTGAATTTAAGAGGTATCAAAAGGAACGCTCGAAATTGAATTTTCAATACAAGGAATAAGAAAACAAGCTTACCTTTCACTGTTCTATACTGATAGTCCTCAATTGCTCAAAGGCTTAAGAGGCTCTTAAAGGGCTTGCAAGACTTAAGCCAGAACCCTCTTTTAACTCTGAAACTTAACATTTTGCTTTTTTCATATTGCCTGTTTTCCAGCATCTAAATCATGATTCAGTTCAAGAAAAACTTTTGTCATTTTCATAAAAACAATTTAGAAATTTGCCATACAAGATGACAGCAAAGTCTGCGTGTCTTTCTTTGTATACAGCTAATGACAGAGAAGTCATCTCCAGTGACCTCAGACAGCTAAAGTATCTGTTAACTTCTTCTCATTTCTGTGGTTCTGTTTGGAGGCTCTCCCTAACGCCCTCTCTGCTGTGCTTTGTGAACATGACCTGCAAGTCTTGGAGTTACTGTTGTTCTCATTTCACTTTTGTTTTCACATATGCAGAAAAGCCCATTACATTTTTCCCAGATCAAATGCAGCATTCATGGCAATGGTATACCTCTTTTTACTCCTTGTCCTCGTCTACACAAGCATTTTTAGATACAAAATGAACTGTGTCAAGGCTCAAAGACAGCCATACGGTGGCTAACTGCCCCTAGGGAATGTTAAACAAAAATCAACACAAATTACTACCTGCCTACCTAGTTGCTTCTCAATCACTTGTCACCAGTTAGCTGCAGATATCTGTGTTTGCTCTGTGCCAAGGGAGGTGAGGAGGCTGTGTTTCAATGATTTTGCAGCTTGCACATCCCTGTCCCCTCACTCCTATTCACCAGGCAAGGATTGGACTGTGGAAACCAAAACTGGAACTAAAACAGACAAGTACTGCCTATACTTTTGCCCACAAGGCTCCTCCTGGGTTTTTCCACCCCACCCACTGTGAGCCTTTGGTAGGGTCAAGAATGGAGCCAGCATGGGAATTTCTATAAACTTTACAAATTTCTAGGTATTTTTCCAACATCTTTGAAATTAAGCATGGAGGGAATGAATGAACAGGAAGAAGCATATAATTAGGAAAAAAAAAATCATGTAAAATTCAAGCTTGATTTTGCAGTAGCTCAAGACAGAGTGCATGCACAGAGAACAACTGCTACAATAATTGAATTCTAGCCCACTCTGCAAGCAGAGATCTCAGAGCATCATCTGCAACACAAAGCTCCTTGCATGACCAGTGCATCTGTGAAGTATAATAAATGCAGAAGGTCCCCAATTTGCAAGTCCTTTGGAAACTGGAGAAGACCTCCTTTTTCAAACATACAACTTTCAAATATCTAAAACTTCTTTTTTGTTATGCTTTGTTATTTGCTTTAAAGCTTTTAAAGATCACCCTTAATGGAAGTCAAAATCCCTGTTTCTTCTAATAAATGCATGTTTCTTCTAAAAGACTAATGAATCCATGTTTCTTCTAAGAGTCATATTCAAAGATATGTACTTACAATGTACCCTGCCACAGAAGAAACACCAAAACATGAGGAGGAACACCATACTCATAGCAAGGCAAAGAAGACAATCCGGAAAGTGAACAGGGGAAAGGAGGGAGAACTAAAGTCAGCATTACAGTCAGAAGCTGCATCAGTGTAAACCTTGTGTGGTATCATGGAGCTGCTCAGTCGCCACATAACCAGGAATGCATCCTGGGAAGACAGAAAGCTCAATTTGGCTGAAGGACCACTTTCCCCTTAGGGAAATGAGATAAGGTCTGCCACAGTCTGACTGCCGTGGTCAAGACTGCTTGTGCAGTTACCCAGAAGCACTGCACTGCCAGTTGCAAGTGGTACTTTGGGAGGGAGGGATTTGTGCTGTAGAAAGCACAGAAAATGCATCATGTCCCTGGTTTTCTGGAGAATACCCTGTCTGCTCAGTTAGACAGCAGGATCCTGGCTGACAATCTGCTCTTGTTTTCTAAATCATATTTCAGCGATTATGTAAGTTCTTCATTCAGACTGGCAAGATCTGATAAGATGACTCATGCTTAATAACCTGATAACATGATAACTCTGAAATCATACAGTAACATGATGTAGTTTCAATGCGATCTACACCAGTATTTTAACTGCATTATGGAAGTCTTAATCTTCCACAGCATTTTTCTGCAGTTCAGAGCCTACAAAAATCTAAATCAGAGTGAAGCATGTCTGGATGCTGGAAATTCACTGCAGCTATCTGGACCCTCAAGGAAGAGTCAAATCTTAAGGCTTTTTTAGATTTTACAACCTCATTTACAATGTACCACTATAATGACTAATGTGGACAGAATGTGTGCTGTGCAAGAAAGTGGTATTATTGCAAAACCATGCCTTGAGATCTGTTAATGCATTAAGGGAACACCATTAGATTTAGGAAAGGCAATATTTTCTATATCCAGAACCAGAATTTTGCTGTAGTAGATCCATTTGATGACAAAAGGGCAATGAAATATAGCAACATGTAAAGAGTAGCTCTCCTTCATGTTCTAAGATAGGACTTGGCTTAGCTACTTTAATGCTGACAAAATTCTTCCTGATTTTGCACAGAGCAGTAGCAAGAGCCCCTTTGTTATGAGAGGCCCTTGCACCAGACAAGTCCGAGGAGCAATAGCTGTTGTTAGCTGTTCTACAGGAACCCTTTCCTTTATCCTGTGAAAAGAATGAAGACCACTGGGGAGCAGAGATCTGGCTACCTCAACTACATCTTCCCTTTTGGCTCCTTGCACATGAAAGTCATAGAGTGGAGTTTAGGTTAGGACCTTTTGGAAGGTTCCTCAGACTAAAAAGGAATTCTGTGATATGGCTCCCTCAGAAAGGAGGCCAAAAGAGGTGAGGATGCAGTGTAGGAACTGAATGCAAAAAAATGGGATGATGCAGAGGTGTGGAATGGGAAGTGGGTGTCCTCCAGCAGTGCCTATACACTGGAACATGGATTTGATGGACTGATAGCTCAGAGAGGGTGATGGGTGCATTTTGTTGTAAAGAAGGAAAAAAAATCATGTTGGCATGTCCTCTCACAGAAACCCAAGTAGTTACCAATGGATTGCCTTCCCAGGGTAATCTTAGATAAGCTGATTAACACTAACATGCATCACACATATCTATGTTTGAAATTCTATTACCATTACTGATTATTAGTACTTTCATACTGATTTTATTCAAGGGAGCAATACAGCCAGGACTACATTAGCAGTCCTCTTGAGACATAATGGTAAGGTCGATACTACTGAAAATTTTCTAAAAGTTCAAGATTCTCAAATAAGAATACAATGCAAAATTTACTTCTGTTAATTAAAAAAAAAAGTTATAATCAGACAGCTGTATAAAAACTAAAACCTGAATCCTAAAACATGAAAAGACAGGTGTAAAAACACCTGCATTTACTCATTTTACATAGCATGGATTTCAAACCAATCTTACAGCAGCTGAAACCTGACTTTTAAGTGTTTTTATGGAGAAGCAATGTTTTTTTAAATGTTTACATTTAAAAAAACCCTAGAAAGCAGTTGGGCACTTCTTTCTCATACTTGCAAAAGAAGCTCAGAATATTTTAAATCTTCTCTGTTTTCAGTCTCACCACTTTGTACAAACTTACAAGGCTATTACTCCATCACCGTCCGAGGGGAAGCATTGCTTCATTTTTTGAAAGACACACATTTCCATATTAAAAGCACTGTGTATTTAAGGTTTGGCCACCATAGTGTAAGTATCTAGCTAATACAAGATTTTAGCTAATGGACAATATTGGGCCTTCTCTTATTACTAGAATTTCTCAAGCCAAATGTTTAGCCTTGATAAATGATAGAGGTCAATAACAGCAGAAATCCCAGTGTAAATTCATCCACAAAGGCAGAGTAGTACTGAAGTCCTCACAAAGGCCTGCTGTAGTCCACAGGCCCTGCTAGCCATCAATCCAGGATCACCTGTATATTTCTCTTCCACAAAGTAAGTTGCTGAAGTAAACTCAGCAGGAGCTGCAGCCTTGCCCAGATAGCACCTGAAAATGCTGGAAATTTGGGTGCTCATGCAACAGAGCACCCAAAATCACACCACTGGTAATCACCTTCTCTGCTATCTCCTATGAGAGGACTCCTGCTGACAGTGGAGTTAAAGCTCAGCCTTTTTGACCCAGTGTTTGGATTTCTTCACTGATACTGCTAAGGAGGTCATCAAGATGACAAAGGACCAGGACAGACAACCAAAACAGAGCAGCAAACTGTAGGGAATGGGAATAGGTGAGCACATTTTCTCTGATTTTTGGTTTCTGGAGTACAAAAGTTCCATATCAACTCAAATATTATTGAATTTACTTTCTGCTTGAAACAAAGGCTATGAAGCAAGAAGAAGCAGAAAGAGAAAGAAAGCACATAGAAAACAATGGCATCTTATAGGCAAGGTATGAATCAAGTAGTTTACTCAGTTCACCATGGGGAGAAGGGCTTGACTTCCACCCAATACCAACTGTATATGGCTCCTTTTGTTTAGGAAGACATGTTTTT